CCCGAACGATCCAAATAACAGACCTTAATTCGTATAAAAGTATATCATGGCTTGTTTTTTTCAGTTGAAGGGGGAAATTGGGCAAAATGGGCAATTTACTGACATTTTGTCAATATGAAACCATCACCATTCGATTCCTCAGTCATTTTTACAGTAATACAGTACCTGAGGGTATAGTATAACAGGCACTAACGCGTATAACCGTGTAACACTGCTGATTAAATTCATAATAGGGGAGAAAGGTTGCACCTTTCAACCGACTTAACTGCGACGAGTGATGCTGAGAGATGTTTCCTGATCGAATAATGGTCCTCTGGTGTGTCGCCACAATACGGTAAGACTCGCCGGTCTCACCATCGATTTAGATTCTGGTACTTCTCAACACCGTAGATTAGCGACACCGGTGAGCAAACCAGGTTGTGCTCGATTGCTCATATTACTGGACAACAACTTCTTGATTATGACGACGTTCTCGTAGCGATTCAGGGGGTTGCGTAAATCGTCTCGATGTCATCGGGGTTGGGCATACTCAATGGTTGCCCATCGGAGTAGCCATGTTTGCGCGGCACATGCCGGAGTACCAAGGGCCTCCGTTCGTTGCGCAATACTGAGTACTGCGATGGAAGAGCCTAGTGGTCATCTGGGTTGCCACCGGGTACACCAGTTGATTCGGTTGTTGTTTGACGAATGGGAAGCACACAAATCCTTGCGATGCCGCGCCGATATTCTCCTTCTGTTGTCCGGACATCTGCTACCCGGATATTGTCATCGTCTCCACGGTATACATTGCTGACTCTTCCGTATCTCCACTTCAGCGGTGGAAGATTATCGTCTTTCAGAAGAACCATCGTTCCTACGGTGATGTTGTCCCGTATTCGTGTCCACTTGGTACGAGGGTGAAGGCCAGACAGGTAGTCGATAGTCTACCGTTTTCACAAGCGCCGTAGAAGCTCTTGATTCTCCTGCCAGCGGTCAAGCCGATTTCGAGGTACCTCCGAAAGGTCGGGTTCAGAAAAGCAAGTAAGAGGACGATGGACGAGGAAGTGACCCGGCGTTAAAACTTCCAAGTCATTGGGGTCAGCCGTAAGAGGAGTTAACGGTCTTGAATTTAAGCAGGCTTCGATTCGAGTCAGCAGGGTGACGAATTCATCCTGAGATAGAACGGAGTTTCCAACGGTTCGACGAAAGTGATGTTTGAAGGACTTCACCGCCGCTTCCCACAACCCGCCAAAGTTTGGGCTGCGTGGAGGAATGAATTTGAACGTTATTCCGTCGTCTGCACAGCGGTTAACTATTTCACCCTGACGTTGTTGTGAACGAAACTGCTTCGCCAGCTCTTTCAGTTCCCTTGCTGCTCCTTTGAAGTTTTTTGCGTTGTCACACTCTATAAGGTTCGGCTTGCCTCTTCGAGCGATAAACCGATGCAGCGCTGCTAGGAACGCTACAGTGGAGAGGTCGTAGACAAGCTCTACATGAACTGCCTTAGTGACAAGACACACGAAGATGGCTACGAAGCACTTTGTTGGAGGAGCCCTGTTGCCTTTACGATACTGGAACGGTCCACAAAGATCTACCCCGGTGTTGAGGAAGGGCAACGTTGGAGTAACTCTTTCTGGAGGCAGATCTCCCATGAGCTACGAGGATTACAGCGAAAACAGCTTATGCAAGCGTGCACGATGCTTCGTGCCAAGTTTCGAATGCGAATTGGCCAGAACTTTTCCCGGACACATGCTACAAGCAGCTGAGGTCCGGCGTGTAAATTTTTCAGGTGATAATAGGTAACAATTGACTTGGTAAGGGGATGCCGTGCCGGTAGGATTACAGGATGTTTCCTATCCTCGGGTATAGCCGCGTTTCTAAGACGGCCACGGATTCTAAGGATTCCGTCGACGAGAATTGGAGCAAGGTTTCGTAAGTCCGAATTGGGTGCAACCTCACTGTTGTCGGTTACTGCTGCGATGTCTTTAGCGAAAACTTCGAGTTGTGCCAACCAAACTAGGTTGTTGGTGGCTTCAGTGAGTTCCGAAGTACGTAAGAATCCATAAGTGCGATCATGGCGATTGCCGGGCTTACTGTTGTGACTAAAGCGACGTAGAAGGAACTCCAACCAATGCTGCTGTTGGAGCTCGTCTAATGGATCGTCCCAGGATTCAGACGTTCGCCAGAGAGATTGGACAAAGATTTTAGCAAGGACTATCACCGGGCCAATCAACCCAAGTGGGTCGAACAGTTTTGCTGTGTCTGACAGCACGGTTCGTCTTGTGATTGTGTTAGTTTGGGACCATTTGGGAACGGAATAGTGGAGTAGATCCGTAAATGGTTCCCATATGAGTCCAAGGGTTTTGATGGTTGTTGGGGAATCTAGTTCAAGTACGGCTCGTTCTTCACGCAGTTCTGGCGGTATGACCGAGAGAATAGACGGCGAGTTGGACGCCCATTTACGTAAATTAAAACCAGCAGACTGCAACAGGTTTCGCAATTGTCTGCATAATTCTCGTCCTTCTTCTTCGTCGTCGACACCGGTCAGCATCCATGTAAAAATCCTTCGACAGGACATCCGCCGCTTGAGGAAACTGATCAGCGCCTTCCTTTGACAGCTCTAGAAGACATCTTGTAGCCAAGTACGGCGCGGAGGCAGTACCGTAGGTAACGGTGGTTAGTTCGATGGTTTGATCGGTTCCGAAGAGGAGAACCGCCAGCGAATACGATGCAATGGAAAATCAACAGGGTGAAGACGAACCTGTCGATACATTTTCTCAGCATCGGCAATAATCGCAAACTGGTGCATCCTAAAGCGAAGCGATAAATCCTGTACGTCATCCTGCAACACAGGACCCACTATCAACGCTTGATTAAGGGATACTCCGCTGTCCGTCCGACAAGAGGCGTCGAACACTACCCGTAGTTTGGTAGTCGTGCTGTCAGCTTTCTCCACACCATGCTTCATCAACCATCGCAAGATCGCTCGTCCACTCATTCGAAACCACCCGCATCTGCTATATATATCTGCTTTCGATGTAACCTAAAACGTAATTTTTTGATCCCTAAGGTGTTTTCCTTCAAGAAGGACTATCATTGGACAGGTTTTCTTATCACTGACTATAATTGTCTTTTAAAAATTATCTAAAATAAGGGGTAAAATGTAAAATTTACTAAAATGCATAGTCTGCACAGATTGGTGATGTATGAAACAATTTGTAATGGATTCTCCAGATGATTTTTCTACAAGAGTGACAATATTTCAGAACGTATATTAACCACAATGAGGTATTTTTAAAGTCATTTATACAAAATTTGAAGAAATTTGAGTAAAATGCTCCAAAAAACCCTACTTGCCCTATTCTGCATATGACGAAACTAGTTCCACTGGATTTCTGAGACTTTTCCCCATAAGAATCATTATATTTGCAAAGGGTAAATCATCGCTGATTAGAGATAATTATTTTTTCTCCTTTTACGTCGATTTTTTCCAACTGTGCAATGGTACCTATGTCGATTCGGTCAAATGCTTTTCAGCTTTACTCAATATAAAGAGCTTCTACGTGCTTGACATTGTCCAATGCTCTAAGAGAGAAGGTTACAAATTCATGAAGATTAGAAGTCTGTAATTTGATTTTTTTACTTGCTGAAATTTTTTGTCGTTTACGATTGATTCAAAAAGTTTTGGGATGCAAGAGATATTGGCAATATACACCTACCCTACACCTACCCTACACCTACACCTACACAAAATTGTGTCAAAAGGGACGCGATGGTGTATTGTTACTTTTAACCAGGATAGCTTCCACTCACTTGGTTATAATGATATTTTTGTACTTGTAAGTTACAAGAAGAGGTTGTGAAGTATGCGTTTGACTCATAAAACCTACTTTGACTATATGTTTAATATTACTTCTGCGTGAAGTCAACGATTTACATAGTTGAAGATGTTTATTTCAAATAACAGACTAAAGTGGTAATTTTTATACGATAGAATAAGGAGATATAGAAATGATAGTTCCGTTTAGAGTACGGCAGTGTGAAAAGCGAGTTAGGACAACTTTAGGTACGTACAAATCGGTTTTATCATCTCTCTTGAACAAACTCCCCCTTAAAGAGATGATCTCCGACCCGCTCAAGTACCGACGATGAGTTTGAAACAGTTCTACCGATTTTTATCACACTCGCTTTCTACTCTCTGTATGCAATTTTCACACTGCCGTACTCTAAACGGAACTATCAATTCTATACTTTCATCTCCTCATTCTATCGAATAAAAATTACCACTGTTATTTGAAATTAGCATCTTCAACTCTCATAAAACCTGTAAATTTCGGTTTAAGAACGTCACAATCAGCGATTTTATGATTTGATTCTTTGAACCCCCCTGATGTTGGACAGTTGATTAATAAATTTTAAATTTTCAATGCGCTACGAATCATGAAAGTGATATGGGTATCAGCATAACAAGAATATTGTCCATTTCCTCAACGATCCCACTCCTAACCTTCCCCAAACTAAAGTGAATTAGGTATTTAATCCATAGCATCACGAGTTCATTATCACCTGTTAGATCTTCTAATGCTTATGACGCAGAGCAGTACAGAAGAGAGCGTTCAATATTATGAAATAAGTAACAGCCACGAGCTCACAGGTAATTTCTTGATCTGTGTATGACTTGTGCAACAATGGTGACTAGGTAGGTAAGTAGGTATTAGCCCCCTGATGAAGCACACCGGCACATCAATGTGCGAAAGGGGAATCCACATTTGTTCACCCGAAGGAAAATATAATTTCCTCTGTTTGTCTCACTTCTGCTGGTAGATGATGGGGGATTGGGTGTAGGGAATTCATTCGAATCGTGGGCAATGTTTTCGTTCTATCTCTTTTCATCCATGAGCCGATTGGGGCTGGTTCATTGGCAGGCAGGCAGGTTCATCGCGTTCGGGTAGAAACCAGATGCAAGCGTTCATTCGTCGCTGTCGGGGTGATGTTTCTTGAATGCTGGCGTTCCGCTCCTTCGAGTTAGTTTGCTTTGCTACAGCGTGCCAAACAGAACGGCGCCTCCGAACTGTAGAGACACTGTACGGACCGGACCGGGAGATAGTTTTGTTAGTAGAGGGAGAGATCAGTTCGGGAACTTTTGTTGTAGTATGTAATTTTGCGTGTCCCCGTCTCTTGGGCCAGTGTGTAGTGTGTATCGATTTATTCATTAAATTAATATCTCCATCGGTTCTCGCGATACGAGAATCATCAGCGGGAAGAAAGACCAGGGCTGGAGATTTTCTATTTGTATCGCCCGTCGCGACTTGTAAGATTAGCTTAATTCTCCTGCCGTGGCCACAAGTGTAGAGTGCGGGCCTAGATCGAACGTTTGGTTTTTTTTCCTATCTTACACCGACTCCAACCTGTTTTTCGTCTCGAGCCGTCGCGGTCGGTCCCCGGTGTGTTGTGTTTGAAGAAATGTGATTTCTTTAATTCGGCAAACGACAGCTGAGTATGTTAAATCAATTAGAGGCAGAAGCTCCGCGCGCGCGGATGTGAAGATTTGCAAAAGAGAAGAGACACTTGAAGAGTGACGGCACGACGACGGCGGCGACGGCGTGCTCCTGAAGAAACAAGAGAGCGCCGCCGCCTCACGCGGGGTTATGCGTATGATGGATTAGTGAATCGTGAGTGTCGTCCAGGGGTTTTGGTTTTCTACAAATCTTTTTCTCCGTGTAGAGGAATGTGGATGCTGATTGCCAAACCACCACTGGGCAACCCCAACGGCTGATAGTGGGGCTGAAATAGCTGTGCGTGAAGAAGAACGTGTGTATAGTAAATAGCTGATGTAAATGTCTTAACAGTCATCGTTCGCAGCAGTGGAAAATTCTACCCAGAGTGTGATATCAAGAGTTTGAACCTCGCGCAATCCGCCTGCCACAATGACCCCGCGAGAACGAGGCAACATAAACGAAACCGATGAAGCAAACGTTGCAGATCATAACATTCGCTACTTATTGTTGTGCCAACAATCTCTTAATTAATTAAATAATAATAACCGTTTAGAGATGTGAGAAATGAAACGATAGAGCAAACATACGAACACTGACAACAATTTATGGCCAGAAGTGGTACGGCCGGGTAAGAGCAAGCACGCACGCATTAAAGATAGATCTGACCGGGGGCGGTGGGGGTGTCGGCGTCGGCGTCGGTGGCTTTGGAGACTTATCATACACAACGCATAGTGCGTATTGTACAATGATACTCCACCAGCCAGCAAACGCGACCGCGACAGGCAATTGATCGCGTTGTATACAACTACTAGCTAGTGTGATTCCTTCGGAGGTCATTGGGCAGTGTTGCTATCTAGAGTCGAAAGCATAGTAGGTATAGTTTTAATCAATGATTGGAAAAAAATGTAGAAGTTGTTGATGGTTTTATTAGAGCTTGGTCGGTTGAGAAATGTTATCGTTTAAATGGAGGCGCATTGTTCGTCACCGACAGCTATATACTGAAAATCATAGTTTTGAACTTTTCAACGTTACCAAACTCTAGAAGTAGGGAAAACTTGACATAGATGGGCCACAGTGCAGTGCTCAAAAGGTTTCAAATTTGTGTGTGAAAAGACCGCTTTTCACATGTTGTTTTGGCTGGAATTTTAACACAGGACTATTTAAAAATACGGTTTTCTATGGATGTAATGTCGGCCTAAATGTCCCTAATTTGGGCCCATACATTCAGCAATTGACTAAAATTTCAATAGCGACCAAAAAAATCCATTTGTACCGACGCATTCATCTAGATAAAATTGATAAATTGCAGATTTTTAGCGATGGGCCCAATCTTCGATCCATAGGCCAACATTAGAGTTATTTCCCCTATAACGCAACTTTGGATACACTCAGGACCGACTATGAATAAACTCTGTTGGGAAAGTGGAAATCGTAAAATAATTAGGATTTTAGCAAAATAACGAAAATTGTAATTTTAAATATTTGTAATAAGATTAGTTTAGATAGGTGCTTCTTTTCAAACAAACTCAGTTTTCACTAGCTGGCGATTTGAAAAATGTAGCTATTCATGATTACTTTTTTACACCTCAGCCATATTTTGATTAGCGATTAGGTTACAATTGATGAGAGTTTTGTGAGGAGTAATACATTTGTCTTTGATTTTTTATGCTTAAGAGCAGTTCCACGTCAACTGACGAATCAATTTTATTTTTCCTTTTCTGAATTCCATGAAACTTCGCATAATTGTTCACTAGGGGCAATAAACCAAGTTTGTGTTCGGCCCTTTTGACTTACGCCTAATTTTCAAAATGGCGAATATTGTTTTAATAAATCATAGCACGAAAACGACTCATCTAAACGAAATGACGTTTGAGACAAAGTTGTAGGAAAATGGATTGTAATTACAGAATACAAATTCTACTGAAAAAAAAAACATCACAAATTTTCGTCATAAATGAAAAAAAAAACTGTTTAAAACTTCAATAACCAAAAAAGTACATTTTTTAAAAATTTTAAATTTATTTTAAATCTTATCAGAAATAACTTTTCTGGAGTGGTCACAATGGACACTTCAAAATTGTCCAAAATATCATAAATCAACTATTGGTATACAAATTTTTCCTTTTTTTCCACAATTATTTTTGATCATTTTTTGGGCAGAAAACATTTTTTTGCAACTTTGCATCATAATACCTGTTGACTATTATACATAATACATGTATAATACCGGTAGACTAACATTACAGCCAACTTTTCCCAACTAAACTAATAGTGCGAAAAAGTAAAACTGAAAAGAAGTACCGTTAAACGGGGTATCTTTGATAATGCGGGTAGCTTTGATAGTATAATGTAAAGATTAAATTGACTCGCTACGCTTTTTCCAAATTAGAAACATTGGTTCGATATTGTACCTCAGGGTATTTCCGTTGATATCGCATATAGTTTTTATATGGTAATATGTGTTACATATTTTACAAACATATTAAAAGAAAATTTTCGTGTTTTTCGCCTGTTTGAAAAAGCACTCATACCATCACTTATGAAATGTATTTCCGATAAAGCCGTCAGAAATTCAATGTTGTATTCTTATTGCTTATAACGTTTTCTGATTATATACTCATTCAAATTTTCATATTTAAAGAACTAAATTGTTTGAGTTTCAGCCATTTTTTTCCACATTCATCGAACATTATCAAAGTAACCCCAAATTAAAAAAAACTGATGCTCGGTCACAAAACTAAAAAAGTAGTGCAAATGCTTTAATTTTAGTTAAACATATTACTAACGAATTGACTCTTGGATCCTCAGTATTTGTTTTAAAAATATAAAATTTGAAAACATTCATTGCTGTAAACATTATTTAGAATATACTTTAAAAAACTATCAATGCTACCCCGTTTTACGGCACGTTTTGAATCTGTTATTTTAGTTATGAAAGGTAGGCCATTATGTTATTCAAAGCAGCGTCGAAAAATGACACTTTTCAGTAATGAGTGCTAAAAAGACTTTTTCGCAAGTTGCTAAGTATAGCCTTGCCGATAGCTTGAAAAATTTTGACAGTGATATTTCATAGCCTACTTGATTAAAACGGTTTGATCATACGCAAGGGCGTTCATATGCAGTCACTCTTGAAACTGCGCTATTTACAGATAGAAATAATTAACACACAAAGGGTATTTTTCAAAATTGCAAAAAAATTGTATGTAACTCCGAATGTACGACTGCTGAAAAAATTTTCATTTTTAAATTTGTTGCATAAATAACTAAGTCCAGACAATCTTTTCTTATGCACACATTCAGCTGGGACTGCTCTCAATTCAAAAATATGGATATTGGGTGACACAAAAGTAACTTGACATAAAACGAATTCCTAAAATTGGCTTTTTGATGTTTAAACTGTTTCGTTGAAATCATATTCTAGATCTTCGAGATCCGTTTTTTTCCAAAGGGTTTTAGCACAAGTTTCATGCAGTTTTTTGCTGTAAAAATTAGCAACTTCACCTAATGAAAGGTCGTCCGGGGGAAAATTGATCACCGGGAGGAAGTAGGCAAATCCACTAAGCGATCGTTTCAGCCTCTGGTGGTGAATGGGGAAACTCTTAAAAAAGTTATGAGGGCTGAAATTTGCACCGTGACACATAGGAAGGGGGAAATATTTTCACATTTCCTGACTATCCATCGCAGGTGCTAGAAATCGTCATCCACGTGACATATTTCGTTTTCTATATCAATTTTGCAGTGGGTATGATCTTTCGGATTTCTAATGTGTGGTTATTTGAGCTGTAAATCAGCTTAGATCTGTAGGCAATCATAAAATAAGACCAGTCTCGATAGTAGTTTGCAAGATATGAATAAAAATATGCGTTAATTTGAGATTTAAAAATTGTAGTTTTGATGTAAGCAAACGGGTTGGTTGACGTTTCCTCTCATAATCGCCTAGCACCCTTTTTGCAATATAAGGTTGTTATAGGGCTTTAAAACTCTATATCAGCCGTATATCAGCATTATATTGCAAAAAGGGCAATTAGCGGGCTTGTTGGTTACTTGAGCAGCCTATTGATTTATGGGTTACGTTTTTAGTTGTCACGTAGATTTCAAGTGATACAATTGTGATAGATTTCACGTGATACCTTGATAGCATTTCATCATGAGTCTCCAATGATTGCTTTGACGAGTTTCTCATAACAAAAAAGTCGATTTTACTGCATTCTTTACAATTGTATTTAACTGACGTTCAATACCATTGAATATCAGCATTTAAACAAACGGTCATAGGGTTGAATTATTTATAATATAACGGTAAAATGTGTTCAAAATGAAGAAATAAATAGTTTTCTGTGAAATTTTCAGTGATTTTATAAGAAGGCGTAAATATGCATTTCGAGAAAATTTTATTTTAATTTCTGCTAAAAATACACTTTGCAAAAGGATTCTTACATCTGATAGAGATCCCATACAGTTACTAGAAATTTACTCAAAAGTCATTTGAAGGGTTGATCAATTTCACTCCGTATCGATGTTTTCAAATTTAGGATTTTAAAAAGGTCCTAAAAATAATCAAATCACTCAATATTTATAATTTATTTCTATATTTACAATATTAAGTGATCAATTTGCCCCCGGACTACGGTAATTTTATTTCCCATAAGGAATGAGTAAACCGGGAGCACACACCGCGACGTTTGGCTAAAGCAAAGGCCGTTTGAAATCTTGGGAAATTACCCCAATAAGTGGAATTTAATGGTTTTCAGCGCATTTCTCCTTTCTGCTGAAAAGGCCAGTTGACAGAATTTTGCGTTCTATGATTGTATATAGGGTTAATGTTCCTAATACGGGGCCCACACATACATTTTGAAGGAAAAGGGTTTTTTGAATATGTTTCACTAGCATCTAAAAATATACATTTCTCGATTACTTTTTCAAAGGGACGTGTCTGCCTTTGCTAACAAAGATTCAAACGTCATTCTGTCAAAACTCTTAGCAATCCCACGCAACCTAACACCACCATCAAGAAGGGTAATGCTTCCCCAAAAAGATGGTGTTGTTAGTTTGCGTGGAAGTGCTACAGAGTTTCGACAAATTGACGCCACTATGACCTTACCCAAGTAACATTTATGGTTTTATGGGGGTTCTGCAGACCGTAGTTTAGACTTCAAGAATACTTTAAAACCTTGATAATACTTGCAATGTTGCTTGGGTAAACTAAAGCGGATATCACATCTAATTACATCGGTCAATCATTTTTGCAAATAAAATTCATACTTATTCATTCAACATCAACAGCAAACTTGCCACATTTTTTAATAAAATGAA